GGGTCCAGTGGACCCGAACATCTTATATGTAATAGAAATGTGTAGGGGGGGGTGTATGGTGTGTGGTCATTAAATATGTATTCTGATATATGTTCTTCACAGAAAATGAGCCAAAGCCAGTGAGTCTCAGTTTGAAAAATTAAATAATTATATCATTTTTCTTTTATTAAAAAGTGAAAACGGGTCCCACAGACCCGATCACCACACAAGGGTTAATAGACATTTTATTGTTGAATCTACAATGTCATTTGTTCTTATTTATTACAAAAACCCCAAACATTGTTAACTTATTTTCTCCTCAGACTGCAGTTCAAGTGCAACTGAAGTTGGAAAAAAATCTGCGTTTGTGTGCTGAGAATGAGACAAATGCAGATTGCTGTCCTAGTCCCCTCTGTGTCCTGGAGACCCTTCAGGTTTCTGCCTGTGAGGGTGGAAAACTTCAGGCGTCATTGCTGGTCCAGGTCAAAATTTATGGACTGTTAGTTCCTACAGTTGCTGGATCAGGTAACTGTATGAACTATTGCAGTAGTCAGTCATACTGAATTTAAAAAATATTCTCATTAACTGTAAACGCTGTTTACCACAGATAATAAAACAACTATTCCAAACCAAGTGTACCAACCACTGGGCTCTTGTCCGTGTGATCTCACATTCAGGGTATGTGATGTGCGCTGCTGCTGTGATAAGGTATTTACTGTATTAATTAATTGTTTTAATCAAGAGATCCATAAGTATTTGTAAAAGCTTTCATTTCTGTGCATAATGTAATTTTGTTTTGCACTTTTAGGACTGCTCCACTGAAGACTTGAAGCTGTTTCTGTCTCAGTGTCTCCTTGGTCCTTTCGGTGGACAGGTCCCTCGTGCTCCAGATTATCAGTGCTCTGTGCAGTTGTCTGAAAACTCCCCAAACTGGTTTCCATTTTTATGTGTTAATTCACCGCTGGAGAACAACCCTCACCTAGGCCTCTTTTACCAGGGAGGTGTAATGTGAGTAGTGTCAGAAGACATTGTATTATATTATATTTATAAACTTGTCTTTTCATGTTACCAACATGTTATTTTATTTTTTTTCTCTAGTACGTCTAAGCCTGGGCCATCCTTCCACAAGCCTATGTTGTCAGCTCCAGTGCCTGTTGATGTTTATATTGAAGGGAGTCCAGTCATAACCAACAGTTATGAGTTCTTCACTATTCCCCAGGTTGGTTGTGTGTCTGTGTTGGCAGTATAATGTAACCTGTACTCAGTGCCAGTAATGAACATCCAGTAACAAATAAATTTGAAAAAATGACTCCTGCCTCCCATCTACAACAATTTAAACATGTGATCACTATCAAAATAGCTGATCAAAGCTGATGAAACAACACATCTTGTTTATTTCTCTTTTGCAGAAATTATTTGGTCAGTGTATAAACAATGCTCCTGTTGGGTTTTTGAAAAATTTTGAAACCACCTGTGTGTCTCTGCTTCATGCCTGTCCAACTGCTGCCCCCTTTCGAATGCTGGCCAGTGATTTAAGGAAGACGGTGAAGAGCGGTGAAGGGAGTATGTTTTACCTCATTAACATGTGGTTAGAGTTTTTAAAGGCTTTGTCAAACTCTTTATATCCTTGTGTTTTAATCAGAGGATTTTCTTCCCTTATCATCTTAAAGGTGACGTCACAGTGGAAGTCACTGATGAGCTCATCACTGACTTGAGTCAGTTTATCACTGGCAGGAAGTCTCTGTTATTTTCAGGTATGGAAAAGTATAAATTTAAAAATATAATTTATTTAGTTTGTTGACTTAAGTTGGCTATATATATGCGTATATATATATATATATTTTTTTCTACTGCAGACCAGGATTTTGTTTGTGAGAATGTCACATTAGCGATGGATTATCAGTTCTTCTGGAAAGGAAATGGCATCACAAGTGTGAATCTGACACGCTCTGTAGGAACCATTTCCTTTAATGGCAGTGGTAAGAAAGTGTCATTACGTCAGTTCATTATTTATATAAATTCTGGTGGAACATTTGTTATGACTTTATATTTGATTTCGTTTTAAATTTAATTTTCTTACAGTGGCATTGACTACAAGCTATTCTGCTGTGTTTTTAAATGGTGAAGTCTTGAGTGAACCCAATTCAGGAAATCCAGGTAGGAACAAGATAAACATACAAACTGAATCTTAGTCAGAGTCTGAATCAAAATTCACCGAGGTCCATACAGAGTTCTGTGGTCAAGGTCTGAAAAACCCCGGTAAAAGACAATAACAATATCAATAACAGTTCTTTTTATTTTAACAGTCTGTCAGATAATAACAAATGATGATATGATAATAGATAATAGAATATGACATTTGTTTCTAACATTGGATTTTTAAAATGATTCAAAATCAGATTCACATAAATGATGAATGTGTCTTTTTTTGTCCTTTCAAGTATCACATACTGGATCAATTAAATGTTTTCTTTTAACTAATAGGAGTATTTGAGTGAGAATGTTTCTCACATTGCTCACTCACTGTGTCTCACCCACAGACAGTCCAGAGATAATGCATTTTGTTACTGTAGTAACTGTAGAAGCAATACCTGTAGAAATGGAAATATCTATAATACCTGGATAAAATTGAACAAACAAAAAATCAGTATTTCATAAGGAACATGTTTGGGTCCTGATAGGGTGACGTTAGGGTCTACAACCAGACCACTCTCTGCCTATTGGTGACTCCAATCATAGAAGATACTTTGAAGTAAAATATTTGTAAAAATGTTTCTTTAATATGTAGAAGGCCATGACCTGGAGTAACTTAAAGGAAGAGAACATTCACCACATTTCCTATCAACTACTTGTATGTAGTACACATTAAATACAGTATAACCACAAAGCCTAAAATTGTGGGAATGAATTTTGGGCCATAGCCAAGTGTTCTATTTTAGTATTTTACAACATGATCCAGAATTAATATCTCAAATAAAGCCTATGTCCCAAGGCCTCTTTATTTAGTTATTCTCTTTGTAAAAAGGTGTTCCCAATGTTGGCTGCATCACCTGCTCACACTTTAATCTTACATAACAGGTTACCAGGACAGTAGGCCTGTGATTGGTGGAACTGTGGATACTTCAGTCAATGATACAGTGTTAATACAGAGGACATCAATCAATCTATGGAAGTCAGGTGGGACATGTACAGTAGGACTGTGAAATACAAATGTGTCCAATCTATTTGACCTAAAGTTGATCTAAATTCTGACCTGCAGGTAGTGATGGACTCTGTTCCAACGGTAACATGAAACCAGTTTTGTATGGAGAAAATTCAACATCAGGATGTTTGCTCTCTGTCAGCAAGGAAAAGCTGACTCAGTGTGACCTTTTAAGGTTAGTCAGTAAACACAAACGAGTTTGTGTTGCATACAGTTGCATAATCGTGTTGGCTCATTATGTCAGCCTTAGTTGACATGATGGCAGAAATTGAATAGATATTGTATGAAAAAACTTTTTGAATTTTTGTGTTGTTTACTGTTTAGAGAAAGTATCAGTTCTCTACAGAAGGTTTTGAACACAGCTACTCATGTGGCCAAAAGTGGAAACCCTGATTCACTGATTGTGTCAGACTGGGAAAACATCATCTGTAAGTAGAAAATTATGGAGAGAAAAAAAAATTATTAAATTTACTTTCTGTATGCTTGTGTTTTGATGGACTGATATGGAGTAGTGGTGCTTCCTGGAAATGTTTATAACTGTCTTATACAGTATATTGGTAAAGTGAAATAATTACTTGCACTAACATTAAGATATATTCTGTCTCATATTTTTGATAAACTGAACAACTTTCTGACATCAATACATTTCAGGTCCAAATTTACCTAATCTTCCTGGTTCTTTAATATGTCACTGTTTTGCAACATTTTGTGCATAATGCAATCAACATCTAATTTTCAAAAACCTAAAGCAGTAACATTGTTCTTTGTTTCAACCAGAAATGGTTCCAGGAGCCTGCTCTGTGATTTAATTTTACGTAGAAATAAAATCAACATGTTAGTTAGTAGATGTTTGTATTAAATTTAAAATGTTAAAGTTAATGTCTGCTGTCCAGAGTTAATTTCCCTTTATTTAATTTTCAGATAGAGCGCTGAATTTGAGCAATGCTTTAGAAAACAACACAAGCTCATGTGATGGAATTCCTTCCCACCAGCATATCCACGTTCAGAGCCTCATCACAAGCACAGTAGATGGTATTACTCAAAGGTCTATTTTTGCTGTGCAAATCAGGTGTGTAATATGTCATTATAAGTCACTTGAAGTCACCACACACACTTTAATATAAACAAAATAACCATTCATATTTATTTTAGCTACAGCACAACCACCTGGACACTAGAGTGTAGAGGCGGTAATGTTTCTTTATGTGTGGATCCATCAGAAATACAGCTATTTCCCATCTCCTCCTCGGTCACCTTTACAGATGTTCCTATTACCACAAGACCACCAAAGACAAGGTACACTCTAAAGCAGCAGCATGACTGCAAGTTGTTGGTGATTGGCATTCTGACTTGTCCTGTTTTGGTGATTAATATTTTATTTATGCGTCTATAGGTTTCAGATTAACTTCACAGAGTATGACTGTAACAGAAATGATGTTTGTTGGCCTGAACTGGCCTTTCCCATCACCAGGTATTACACAGGTAGGTATCAAACAGGGTATTTTTAAAATTTATTTTAATTTAATAAATTAATTATTTTTTTACATAAAAAACAACATTGGTTAAGGATTAAATTAAAAGGTATTTATTTCCTAGGTGAGCCGTATTCCCAGGCACTGGCCAAAGGCCTTATCTTGGTTTTCTTCTTTTTGGTGGCTTCTGTCCTTGGGAATCCATGGAGACAAATACGTCAGTCCTGGAACAGTGCTGCTCTCTAGAACACTTTTAGTACAGGATAAATAATGTGATAATGTGTATTTTAAGGTCGAATGTAGTGACTATATTTTTACATTGGGTATTGTTTAAAATATAGTTATCACATTTGAGAAGGTAAATATTTTGTCTTTCTGTTTTTTGTTATAAAATATCAGACAACCCATTTTATAGTGTGACACATCTGATTTAACTTGAACCTGTTTTTAAATTATGAATTATTTATTTACATCATGCTTGACGAATTATTATGCTGATGGTCCATATGTGTACAAAAAGCAATGTCCACACAGGTTTGAAACAAACCCAAATGTCAGTTAAGTCAATTTATGATGTAGTATATTTCCAAACATTAGACAATACCACATCAGTACTAACACTGGAAGGTTTGTGTGCTGGATTGTGATCATCCACAGGTATAACTTGTCTTGTTTTGTCTGTGATTGTCAGGTCTGTCTGTTTCCTGTTCCTGCTGTGTGTTGTGTGGGGTAATCTGTGTTATCACACTCACATGTGTTGTTGTAATTAGTCTCTCTTGTGTCACCAGATGCTCTTTGTATATATACTTCTATCCCTCACTCTGGCCCTGTGGGATCATTATATTGTTTGTGTGTTGTATCTGTTCCTAGTTAAGTCTGTTGCTGTGCTCAGTTCTGTTCCTGTTTTCTGCTCTGCTTAGCCCTGCGTATGCTTCTGTCCTGGTCTTTGGAAGAGAATTTTGTAAATTTTGATTTTTTTAAATAAACTACCTATACCAGTCCTGCATTTGGGTCCTGCTTGCTTCCTGCTTTGTCGATGGCTCACTGTGACAGTGATGCTCGACTAGAGTTTGGTCAAAATGGCAAAGAGGGACAATATAACATTGTTCTTTGTATATATTAGATATCTATAGATATATTTATAATGCTGATATACATAAACATGTATTTTCCTGTATGTCCTGTAGACCTTTGTGCATTTAATTAAGGACATTTAAAGACAAGTTTTAGAAGTGTTAGACCTAATGTTTTTGTATGTATTCAAACACTGGAAAAATATACAGTACAATAGACGTGGTAACAAAAACATGCTTTTTTTTATTTAAAAAAGATCTCTATCCCATTTGCTGCTCTCCAGCACAGCGGTTCAAAGGGGGTCAACTTACCCATAGCTGCACCTGAACTCATGTTTTCTTGTTATTATTTTATAGGTATGAGGGTGGAGTCCAAGAGAACAGACAAGCAGAAGAAAAGAATTGTTGACGGATAGCAACAGCCTTTTTCTTTTCTTTTTTTGTTACATAACAATCACTGAAACACTATAGTCAACATAGTTTTTACTTGAAAAATTATATTTTACTTGTAACTTCCTAACTTTCATTAGAAATCCTAACCAAAGTTTTTTTAATGTTTATATATATATATACATTATTTTAAAGATTATATTATTATTTTAAAAATCATATTTTAGGACTGTCATATGTGTTTTTCCTCTGCTTTTTGTTTGTAGAATAAATGTTTATGTGAAATAAGTTTGTCAGAGAAGGTGGTACTAAGAAATCGCAGTTCCACAAGAGACCGAAAGAGGCAGCATTATGCCTTTGTGACGTAGAGGCTACGGCACAGTTCAACAACTAAAGAAGGGGAAGTATTGAACAGTTGAAGTGACGTGGAAGGCTATGGACGCAACAACTGGACGTTTTACAGAACTTCACAATCCTAGACGAGAGTTGTGACATTTTTGTAAAATGCAACTTTTATAGCTTTTACACTGCTGGACCTACATTTTACTTCGGACTGTGACACAGCAAGTTATTTTCTTTGGCAACGGCTATTCTTTGCTGGCAGTTAGCTAGTTAGCTCTCTGGGCTGCGCTGACTGAAGTAAACTAAGTGTGGATTTAACAGTCGATTGGAGAGAGGCTAAACATGAAAAAGACCAGGAAACACTCGACAAACCTTACTGATCGCCGCTGATTTTTTTTCTTTTACGGAAACAACATCGGGTCGCTTGTTATTGTTAATTTTCGAGTGTGTTTATGAACAGTAAAAATGAGCTCTCTTTTGCGAGGTGAAGAGATGTGCATGGCCCAACTGTTTTTACAGTCTGGTTCGGCTTATGACTGTATCAGTGAACTTGGTGAGCTCGGTCTGGTGGAGTTCAGAGATGTGAGTCTGCGGTTTAACGTTATTTGAGTTTGAAAGTTAAAGCTAAGCTTACTCTTACAAATGTGGTCAAAGTCAAAGTGCAGGCTTCAAATGTCACCTGTCACTTAAATTGTATTATTCATTGACGTTAAAGTTTGCAAATATTTAACTACTGTCCCAGAACAGAAGTAGAAAGTAGAGAAGGCATTTATAGTTTAAATAGACTAAATACGATGTTGTGCACACTTGAGAAACTCAGAACAGTTTATGACTTATTAAGGTATTAGGAAGACGATACTTACCGATATATTTTAATCTCTAAGTCGGATGAACAGTACGACAACAATAACAGCTGTTTGCTTACACATGTAGGCAACATTTTGAATTCAGATTCCCTAAATCGTAAGAAAGTGTTAAACAAGTGTTATATTTACTTCAATCGAAAATTTAAACCTTTACAATGCTTGTGAGTGCAAAGTTCCCCATACAAGACAAATTAAGGAGATTTCAGTCTTCACTTAATTAAAATGTTAATGAGGAAAGTGAAAAACTACATGGTTTTAAACAGCTTATATTATGGTAATGTGCAAGAAATATTAGTTGAGAGAGAGTCTCTGCACAGTAGTCGGGTCATATGATCGATACATCACTTTGCATACTCTGTTAATATTGAAACGTTTGTTGTTATTAAAACATTTTCTATTGTTTTATTAACTATTTATTCATACAGATTTGTTGTTATATCAGTCATCATTGTATTGTCTGACATTTATGTTGTTTACTACATTTAGCTAATTTGACAAATAATTAGTTTTTATCATTAAAAATGTTATCTACATAACATTTTATAGTGCATACAAATTTGCCTTTTTCCTAATTCATAATGGGAATTGGGTTTCTAGTGATTCTCATTCTGTGTCAGGATGGAAAACACTGTCAGCCCAAAATGTTACATGTCCACACAGATTGTTTTCGATGATTCTTTGACATATCACATTTAACTTTACCATTTTTGTCTGCTTACATCTGTTACAGCTCAATCCGAGTGTCAACACCTTCCAACGAAAACATGTTAATGAGATAAAAAAATGTGAAGAGATGGAGAGAATTCTGGGTAAAATTATTTGATCTAAGTTTTCTAAGATTAATTGATCTTGGAAAGTCTACTGTTTAGGACAACCATTAAGCATTAGACAAACCAAACCTAAGACTGTATCACAAAAGACCTTCCTGTTGAGTTGAGTTAAATTCAATTTAGAGCCAATGAGCCTTCAGTCATGAGATGTTAGCTGGTTGTGAATTAGAATGAATGCATAGTGATTCTTAGCTATGGAGACCATTTTTTATTAGATTAAGGGAAGTAACACACTGCATGCCTTTGCTTTTGCAGTGTTCTACAAATCACTCTTTCTTTTATCTTTGTAACAGGATACCTCTTTAGGGAAATTAAGAAAGCTGACATTTCGCTGCCAGAACGAGATGTGAACCCAGTGGCTCCTTTACCCAAGCACATCATGTCAGTAATGGTTAGTTACTTCTTAGTGTTTTATTTATTTATTTTCTAAGAACATTGATAACACACCATCAACTGGATGAGTGCATTGGTTTTAAGTTGCTGGCTTGTAAACTTTGGCTCAAGGGTTGTGTATGGTCCATTGTGGCTTTCTATTGTGCTCTACAAACATTTGAAGGTGTATCTAAATTAAAGTAATAACTACTTTAAGACTCAAGATTAATTTGCCTTCATCCTACATAACCCAGCTTTTCTGTTTAACCACTAGATCACATAGGTGAACTCCTGTTTAATAATAAGTAGACTGAATGGTGGAAATGTAGCCATTAAATGTAAACTGCTCCTTGCAGAAACAACACATACACTGTCAGAAAGTTAATATTATGCCAGTATTATACTTTTATTTTTTTATAGTTGTTATTCCACTCTCCTGAAATGTGAAAATAATGAAAAACACTATGCAAAACCTGTGACTACTTTTCAATATTTCTGTGTGTAAACTGCACATTTACAGTTGTATATCTACAGTTTGAACAAACAGATAGATAGATAAATAGACGGAGTAAATATGTGTCATCTACATCAACACATCTATGTGTACATCTATACATATATGTCTGTGTGTCTGTGTGTGTGTGTGTGTGTGTGTGTGTGTGTGTGTGTGTGTGTGTGTGTGTGTAGTTTGGATTAAATCTGAAAACAATACTACCCCAGCTGCACTCTCTACCAACTACACATTCTCCCATTTAGTGCATCTGCGCAAGGAGGTCGACTGGGTCTGTTAATTTCCAACAAATGGAAAATCAAACAACTGCTCTCCATAGTCATAGTAAAACTCTTTCCTATACCATGCAATCTTGATTGATTGTTACCTCTTCTCTTGTAAGTCAGTTTTGACAAAAGCATCTGCTAAATGCATAAATGTAAATTTAAACTACAAATATAAAATTATGTTATTTTAGTTATACTATACCACTGCTTACAATCTCTCTGGGTTCACAGGAGCAGCTGCAGAGACTCGAAGTGGAACTCGGTGAAGTCACCAAGAATAAGGAGAAGCTGCAACGGAATCTACTGGAGTTGACAGAGTATACACACATGCTACGCATCACACGCAGCTTTGTACAGAGATCTACAGAGGTCAGTATGTCTGACCACAATTTATCTAGTTAACACACACCTACATCCCTTTTTTAATTGTGAGAAAATTGATATTCTCTGAATTTAATTCTTTTTGTGTTGTATTTTAGCGAGAATCCTTACACATGCAGTATGAGGAGTTTCCTTTCCTAGAAAAAGACACAGTGATGGACTACAGCAGCATGCAGAGGCTAGGAGCCAAACTAGGGTGAGGAGTGAAACACTGAATTTTCTCATGAATGGTTTTCATTTTGATGTCTGTCTCCTATATTCTCTTAGAAAACCTGTTTTGAGGAAAACACAGTTGCCTGTGTCACGTTTTAGGTCAGTTTTTGGTGACTGTGAATAGGCAGCCGTGGTGACATCTTGACAACTGCACATGATAAATGGCAGAATATCAGCAAGTGTGTTGTCAAATTGACAACAAGAAAACTGTTGGATATCAGCCATTGTTTAGGTTTAACAAGGCTACCTACAGCAGTCCTGTACATGATTATCACTAACAGAATCAAAGTGGATCATGTGTAATAAAAACTAAAACTGACGGGTGTCAGTTCATGTTCTCAACAACAACTGCACCTGATTGAATCTCAGTTTGTTTGTGTGAGGTTAAATTATGGACATGCGAACTGTCCAGGGTGTACCTCACACTTGCCCAGTGATTGCTGAGATTGGCTCCAGCCATGCCCCAGACCTTTGCATAGGAATTAGCAGTAGATTAAGAATGGATAAAAATGTCGTTTGTATATTTATGTATATGCATTTAGTGCAAGGCCTCATCAGATGACTTATTATCTGTTCATGCAGTGTCTTTAATAATTCACACGATTCCACCAGATGTCTTTCTCTACTTTATGGTCATTTTTCTTCTGACAGCCATTCATTCAGAAAAGTGTCTGAACATGTCTGATCTTCACTGCATGTTTTAGAGCAGTGTTTGTCTTTTGATGATTTAACAGAAGCTCTAAAGCAGCTGTTCAGTGATTGGCCTGGTTGAAACTTCAGACCTGAAATATTAAATATTAGTATTTGAGAGCTAAGGTTTGAGGAATAAAGGTGTTTCTTTGTATACGAGTAATTTTTGCATAAATCCATCCAGTATCTGTGCATCATTTCAGAGGAACTGATTCTTAACAGATATAATGAAGTTTAAATGATTCATATTTCAATTACAAATGTTTTTGCTCTTTTTGCAGCTTCATTTCTGGTCTTATCCAGAGGCAGAAAATTGAAGCCTTTGAGTGCATGACGGTGTCAACTGATCATCCCAAATATGTCCTGTTGTTTTGGCCCACCTCATAACAGGTATTTAAAGTATGATTATTCATGATTACTGAGCCCACAGGTTAGAATGTTGTTATTATTATTATTATTATTATTATCGCACATCTTTATAAAAATGATCGTTTTACATGTTAATGTGTCAAATTAGCAGAGATAAACCCTGAGAGATCAACCTCCCTTGTCCACTGAGAATTAGGTGCAGCACTAAATGTATAGCACTGATATTTTGCTTGAATGACAAACTGATATTCTTGTCATTGGTTTAATAAGAAGTTAATGCTTAAGATCTACATAAGCACATGATTCTTATGTAGCTGATTAACTGATCTGACAAAAAGGTCAGAGGTTTGACGTCAACTGTTTCATCCATCACATTTTAGTCAAAGACAGGTATATAAATCACACCTGTAGAGTGTGTAAAATGTAGTTTATGCACACAGATGTTATCACAGACAAACAACACGTTTTATGTTGTTTTTCACAGGGAGAACCGACCAAAAGTGTTGTGTTCCTGATCTCCTACTGGGGAGATCAGATTGGGCAAAAAGTGAAGAAGATCTGTGACTGGTATGACTCTGCAATATGCAGCATGTACTGCATTTATTCTAATTCTAATAGTGTAATGTAAATGAATTATTGTAAAAATTCTGTTCTCTCCGTAGCTACCACTGTCACTTGTATCCCTATCCTACGAGCAGTGATGAGCGGAATGATGTTGTGGAAGGACTAGCAACGAGAATTCAGGATCTTCACATAGTACGTTTCACAATTGGATGAAACTTATTAGTCTAGTATTAAGTATTTATTTTCTTGGTACTCTTTTGTCATAATTATCTCCCTATAAAAGTCTAACATGGAGAATCACAACATCTTCCTAAAGGTTTTTCCCTATGAAAAAGCCTTTAGTTGTAACAGAACAAACAAAAATGCCTGTTCAAAGACAAACCTGGCTGCATGGTTTTTGAGTTAGAGCTTACAGGAAGGAGATAAACTTGGAGAAAAAGTCAAGTTTAAGCCCAGTGTGATGTGAATAATTTGAAGGCTGTAACCCACTGTGACTGGAAAACAGGATTGTACAAGCACATGATCAACATGAGGTCTCTGCAGAGAGGTTTTTTTTCCCATTCATTGACTTTTAATCGGTGCAGCGCTCCTCATCTATTTGTGCCTTTACCCAAAAAACATACAAAACAAAAAAATGCTCCTGGTTCACATATAGCTATTGTTCCATAAAGATTCATCTTTAAATATTTAATATCTCTCTGTTTCCAGGTGCTTCACAGGACAGAGGATTATCTGAGACAGGTCTTAATTAAGGCTTCAGAATCTGCATACATGTGGGTCGTCCAAGTCAAGAAGATAAAGGCCATTTACTACATTCTCAACCAGTGCAGTTTTGATGTTACCAACAAGTGTCTGATCGCCGAAGTGTGGTGTCCCGTCAAGGACATTCCCACTCTGCGGAGGGCTTTGGAAAAAGGATCGGTGAGATTTTATTCAGATTAGACCTCCTTGAGTTATTTCTTTGTGTCAGTTACTGTTTACAAATGTAACCCCCATTGATGTTTTCCAATTAAATTCCCTTTTTTTACAATGTGGTGCACAAAAGGTAGAAAAGCCACAAGTTGCTACAGTCATGAGATAAAGTGATCTCCTGTTTGGGGAATAACAACTGAAAAGCACCTGATTTTATACATGATGTGACATGAGTATGTCAGTTTCCACTTTATTAGCCTTTTTTTTACCATTATGTAATGCCAATTATGTTAGCTCAGCTGTAGCTGTTTGAATAGGAGGAAAAAGCTGGTATCTTTGAAATTGGGAAGTGCAATGAAACATATAGTAATTATAACCGTGACACCAGTGAAAGTTGCAATTTCAAATTATAAAATATCACGTTACTTTTTTTTAGAATTTTATTTGAATCATAAGTAAAGAAATGAAACTTTTTTTTTCATTTTTCTCTAATACTTCATCATTTTTAGAGAAAAAGTTTTTTGTTTGGTTTTGGTTTTTTTTTTCAGAGAAAAAGTGGAGCAACTGTTCCCTCCTTTGTCAACCGTATTCCTACCACGGACACTCCACCAACACTGATAAGAACCAACAAGTTTACTTCTGGTTTCCAGAACATTGTTGACGCCTATGGAGTGGGCACTTATAGAGAGGTCAACCCTGGTGAGTGGTACAACTGTCTAATTGTGCAGTATATGGATGATTAAAAAAAGATATGCCAAACATAAGCAGCTGTTTATTAGCTTAATGACAAAAACCGAAGAATAAAAAAAACAGCTGATCAACATATTTGGACATGAATAACTCATTTGAACAGATGAACAGTACCAAATTAGAGCAAAAGGAGGTCAACCACAGTTTACACAGCAAAGTGGAGAATAATTTTATGGATCCAGTTAAGTGAGTGAGGAACACCAATCTTTAGCACTTCACTCTTCCTCATAATAACACATTTTAGCTTTCTACAATTTATATTGGCCAACAGTAACAAATAAAAGTTATTTATGTATTATGATAACAGTTTACAGTTTATTATAAGCAATTAATGTGCAAATGTTTTCTTGTGCTAATGTTTTTAGCTCCTTTCACAATCATAACGTTCCCCTTCCTCTTTGCTGTGATGTTTGGAGACCTGGGTCATGGACTGATCATGGCTCTTTTTGCGTTTTGGATGGTGTGGCATGAGAAAAATCGCAAGCTCAAAAACACAAGGAATGAGGTAAGTGTTAATTTTATAATGGCTAATATTAAATATCTTTATCCTAATACACTTGATACATTGTGTGGCTATAGCAGGTCTAAAATGTCAGTCAGTCTTTAAATGATCATGTAGGGCGGTGGTGACTTAGTGAAGCGGACTTGGGTCTGGAAGGTTGCAGGTTAGAATCCACCAGCTGCCAAGTTACCACTGAGGTGCTCTGAGCATGGGACTGTCCCCACACACTGCTTCCCGGGCGCTTAAAGCTGCCCACTGTTCACTTTGGTGATGGGTTAAAAGCAGAGGTCACATTTGATTGTGTACAGTGGTGTGCTGTGTCACTATGACAAGTAGTTCACTTTCCTTTCCTTTTGTTTGTAGATCTGGAACACGTTCTTCGAGGGTCGTTACATCATCCTGATGATGGGACTCTTCTCCATATACACTGGACTTATATACAACGATTGTTTCTCAAAGTCTTTCAACATCTTTGGTTCTGGGTGGAACGTGGAGGCCATGTTCACAGCAGGAAAATGGAGGTAAGTACTACATGACAAGAATGACTTATAAATAGTTAAAACATACTGACACTACCTATTAAAAGGTATTTTTAAGGTGAGAGTATATTCTCTATAGCATTGTTTCCCAAAACTGGGTCGTGACCCTCAGATGGGTTGCAGGAGTTTTTTTTTTTTTTTTTTGGGTCGTCTCGCATCAAGTTTCCCAGGAGTTTATGAATAATGTCTATTGACTTGAGACTTGATTGATTCCTAACAGCCTAGATGATCTCCACAACAACCGTTTTCTCACCCTGGATCCTAACGTAACAGGGGTTTTTAATGGACCCTACCCTCTGGGAATCGACCCTGTGAGTGAACCTTCCAATTTGTCATTCATCACATAAACATACGTTGAGTTGTCAACGTATTAGGAATTTATAAAAAGCATGAAGTTTACCTTTAAACAAAAAGTACTACAGTCAATCTAATGTTTTTTGGTTATTTTAACTGTTTGTCAGATTATCATAACGACCCACACAAAGGCCCTCTGTTGTGTACTTTCATTGAGTTACTTGAATTTATACATTTTTATAATCAAGTTATGCTGATTTAATAAGTGGTCCACAGTTTAGTGATTGTTGGTAACTGATTTATTTATTACCTTAGAGCTAGTTTTCTCATTATATGACATAAACTATTAGGATGTTTTTGAGTTCATACATTTTTACCTGTGAACATTTTGCCATTTCCATTTTAAGATCTGGAACCTGGCGTCCAATCGTCTCTCATTTCTGAACTCCTATAAAATGAAGATGTCAGTCATACTGGGCATCATACACATGAGCTTCGGGGTCACACTCAGCACCTTCAATCACTTGTGAGTTTGACTTGAGTCGTTATTGTGCTTGGTCTTCTGTATTTTACTGAATGTAGTTTTCCACATTAAAACAGACACTTTAGGAAAAAATACAATCTGTACCTGGTGTTCCTGCCTGAGATCCTGTTCCTGCTCTGCCTCTTTGGCTACCTGGTCTTCATGATATTTTACAAGTGGCTGGTGTTCTCTGCTAAAGACTCCAGGCACGCCCCCAGCATCCTCATTCACTTCATAAACATGTTTCTGATGCAGAGTGACACAGTGCCACCTCTCTACCAGGGACAGGTGAGAAGATAACACAAAGTTTAACTACAGCTGCTTAAAAGGGGTCAAGTCTGTGTAACTGTTAATAGTATGATCTAGTTGTTATGAAACTGATGTTAAAAACAGAGTTTTTGTTTTGTATCTTTCAGCCTGGTTTGCAGGCATTTCTGGTGTTAGTTGCTGTTCTCTCTGTTCCTGTTCTGCTCCTGGGGAAACCTCTCTACCTATACTGGCTTCAAAAGGGAAGTCGCAGAATAGGAATGTACAGGGTATGAAGCTAAATATTCTTAAAATTTCCATTATAAATTGACATTAATCCTGTTTATTCATTTCTGAAATGAAACATTTTTAACCCATAGGCAGAATGATACATATGTTTATATCATTTTATTTAGAAATCATGAGTAATCATGACATTACAATCACAATTATTCAGACCGATCATGATTAATCTGCAGTTACGTTGTGATTATTCAATAACATGCTCATTGTTAAAGCTGATTTGTATTTTCTCAGGGATATGAGCGTGTACACCACAACAGTGAAGAGGAACTCTTCCTGATGAGAACTCATGACATGGAGGAGGGCAGCAGTCACAGTGACCTCTCCACAAGTGGAGAACATCAGACAGAAGAGGTCAGGCCTGAGAAGTAACCCAGCTGTACAGATATGATACGGCCATTTATTTATTTAACCTTCTTTTACGGAGTTTATCTTTGTTTTATTTTTTTATTTTTTAGTTTAACTTTGCAGACGAGTTCTTGCATCAGGCCATCCACACTATAGAGTACTGCCTCGGCTGCATCTCAAACACAGCCTCCTACCTGAGACTCTGGGCTCTGAGTTTAGCACATGCTCGTGAGTATCTGTGCCATGTCACAAATCCAAATATCAGACTCTTGAAAACTTCTTATGTAGATTAAAGTTGTCCCCCATCAGTCTTCAGAGATTTTTGATTCATCACTAAGCGGATTGGCTGCGTCTCCTCACGTCACCCAGAAAAGGATTCATCTGTAGCAAATGACTGAATGTCACTTTGTTTTTTTGGTAAACATGTTCTTTTTTGTATTGCGTCCACAGAGTTGTCAGAAGTTCTGTGGTCGATGGTGATGAGAGTAGGTCTCAAAATGGACACCAGTCTGGGAATTTTATTCCTGGTGCCAGTTTTTGGCCTGTTTGCTGTTCTCACTGTGTCTATCCTCCTGGTGATGGAAGGTCTCTCTGCTTTTCTGCATGCACTCAGGCTGCACTGGTCAGTTTAACAGTTCCTACAACATCACTTTTTGATTGCATTTACCATTTATCATTGACCATTTCATTTATTTTTGTTTTCTCAGGGTGGAGTTTCAGAATAAGTTCTACAGCGGGATGGGCATCAAGTTTTGCCCCTTTGCCTTCTCTCTCTTGCCTTCCAGCTTTGAGCATGATAGCCTACTGTGAAAAGACTGATAAATTCAACTAAGGATTTAGAAAATGGAGCCAAAGGAAGGAAACTGAAAAGGCTGGCAAACTTAATAAAGTTTTTAAAATTGTTTTCAATGTCATATTTGAACTGTTCACACTGTTTAAAAAAGGACACTTCAGAATGTACCATGCAGAAATTACAAAATCTCTATCTAAAAACATACACCAAACCGAGAACTTTAGGAATGCAATGGTAGCTGCTGTTGTCATTTAAACTGGAAAATAAATAGATGCATTCATTAATTCACTGTTTTCCCAAGCTTATGCTTCTCAGAGAACACTAAATACATAACATCAACATTGTTTTGGTTCATTTCTCCCTGTAGGATTTTCTGATAAAGATAATAGGTCTGGTAACATCTTCCTATTTATTTATGCTTTCTCTAAATCTCACTTGTTGAAGTGGTTTGATGTTAAGCTGAATTATATTAGCTTAATTGTGCTGAATACATCTAACATTCAGACACTGCATTGTGAGCCACTTTAACACGATTCTTATTCAAATGTTGCAAGATCAGGGTGATAAGATACTACTTTTCTTTTCCAGTACTTTTCCAGGAAATGATTCTTAATTTATTATGTATTTGAATGTTATCAAAATAAAAGAGAAATAATAATGGGATGCCATTTAATGTTAAAGGCATTCACAGTGTTGCCTCTATGTCCACATACTGTACATTTTAACATTCCAGACACATTTTGTCATCAATTATTAAAAGCTTGACTTGTGTTAATAGAATATTTATAGTACTTGCTGATTCTATTTGGTGGTTTAAGTGTTGAATTTTTCTTGCCTTGGGAAGGAAACTATTGTCATCATTGTTGTATTTCAAACTTTGCATTTTTGTTACAGTAAGATGCTGCCATACGATACCATTTGAAGAATGTTGAAGCTTTGAGTTTTTAAGAAGTAAATATAATTAAATAGCTCCACAAACAGCAATTAGACCTGTCCAATAATGTTTGCCTTAATTAAAACTGATTTTCCCTTAACATAGTCCTTTATTTTGAAATTAGTTTTAATACGAAGTACAATCACTCCGTTTTTAAGCACTCCTTGTCACAGTCCTGTAATGACAGTTTTATTTTGTTTTGCAAATTGTCATTAATAAATTGTATTTGTTTGGATTTTTTGTGTAATTGTATTTATATCTACTTTCAAGCAGGATTATAATATATTTATCTTTTTTTAATCAATTTCTGAAGCAGGTTTATGTACATTCATATATATATGAATACATTATATATACATTTTATACACACACATACAGTATATACACACACATACATGATGTATGGTTTAGAGACAGTAGCAATAGGCAGAAGACAGGAGGTGGAGCCGGAGATGGCAAAGATTCTCTTTAGGAGTGACAAGAATGGACAGGATCAGGAATGCTGTCATTAGAGGGACAACACAGACAGGAAGGTTTGGAGAAAAAGGTAGAGAAGCCAGATTGAGATGGTTTGGACATGTGCAGAGGAGGGACAGTGGATACATTGGTAGAAGAATGTTAGAGATGGAGCTACCAGGTAGGAGACAAAGAGGAAGGTCAAAGAGGAGATATATGGATGCAGTGAGGGAGGACATGCAGATAGTTGGAGTCAGAGTAGAAGATGCAGAGAACAGGGCAATATGGAAATCAATGATTCTCTGCGGCAACCACTGAAAAGGGCAAAGCTGTAAGGAAAATAAGTTTATTCTATGTACAAATGTGCATTACATGCAGATTTAATAATGTATCTTAAAATTTGTACTTAAAAATGAAAGTGAGGCAAGGAAAGCTGAAAATGCTTAAGTAAAATTAGTGAATGTGTAAAAGTTTGTGAGAAAGCAAAAAACAAAGAAAATGTATATAAAAACAGTTATACTTAGGTTTAACTTATGTATATTGTACAATAACAATGAAAACTGACAAAAGAAGTATTAGTGCAACAAATTTAAAAAAAACTATTCATTTTGTGTCGAGTTGACCACAAGGTTAAGACCTCGGTCACAGGTACAGCAGCCTTTCAGTCAATTCACTGGGAACCAAACTCCACTTGTTAGGGTTGCCATGGCACCGAGTATCAACCACAAAAGCAATTTGTCGCAAGGCAACGTCGGTTACTATAGACAAAACTTTACATTTAGACATGTTCATCGTTTAAAGAAATTTTAATTTTTTTTCACAAAATGGTCCACGACGATCTACGAGTGGAGTGGATTCTCCAGAGAGTCATCGCCGGCTTCGATTTGTACGACCGTCCGGAATGTTTAGAAGAACTTCTGAACCGAGGAGATGGACAGGAGGAAGAGAAGATGATCCGCTATCTGAATCTGGTGTCTGAGGAGGAGTCACCCTCGTGTTTGCTCTTTTTCAAGGCCATAAGAGAGGAAGAAATCGAAGTTAAAATCCCCGTCGGTAAGGTAGTGTTGTGTGTCGATATACCGATAAAGGACATCGTAGTTTCCCCGTTTGTGATTGGGCTACTACTGTCTATTATCCTGTGGCAATCATATGGCTAAATGAACACACATATACTGTTTTGGGACCTCGGGTCCATTTTGTCTTAGTTTAGTTCACCATTTTCTAGATATTAAACGTCAGAGTAATGGTTATGTTTATCACTTGATATTCGGCAATAGTTTTATATCTATGGAAAAGGCCAAAGAAAACACTATTACTGCGTTGTAATGTTCGTGTTGATTTTTTATTCTATTTTATTCTATTATTTTATTTTATGTTAAAATTCATTCTGAAAATTGTACATTGCAGAAAAGACGAAAGATGAAGATGTTTCAGATCCTGAAAGTAAGACCTGGAGTCGAAGTGAAGCAGAGATAACCTCAACAGCAGAGGACGCAGAAGAAGAAGAAGAAGAAGAAGAAGAAAGTTGTTATGTGAGATTACACTAACGAATTGTTTTTATTTTAGCACTACAGCACAGTACACCTTACAGGATTTTTTTTTCCAACCAATTCACTTTCCAATTTCTATATTTTGGACAGAAATGTAATTTGAGATTGTTTTTATTTTAAAATTCACTAGCTTTGCGTATGGTGGACTTATTAGAACTAAAATCTTTAAAACTTGTTCTTGTGTGGGGGTGGGGGGGTGGTTGTTTTTTTGTTTGTTTGTTATTTCAGAGGACTGAAGTTCAGGTGGTTTATCACTTAGAGCTTCATGTTGCAGTGAACAGTTACCCAGAAAGATTTTTGAAATCCACAGTCTTCTACTTCATCAGGAACACAAAAGGTGAGAATGATGGCATCAAAGAAGCAGTTCAATCATGAATAAAACAACCTGCTGATTTAAATGAATGTTGTTCAGAGACTATTGTTGAACCACTGGACATGACTGAGGCCAACATCTTGATGCCCAGGCTCTTTGACATTGGCATGCACAGTGGCCACCCACTCCTCGTGCTGCAGAACAAACTTGCCAACGTAAGAATAATCGATCCACAACCAATGCAACCTTAAAGATCTGGACAGAACATTATGGAACTTTATTTTACAAACTGCTGGTACATGATGTTTTCCATCAATGTTTTCCAGGTTTACCTACCTATGCTGATGATGCACCAAATGAAAGTAACTGGTGCAGGCTATCAGAGCCAGGCGGCGTCTCCTCAGCAAAACAGCGTTGAGGGAGCAGACAAGAGTCCAGTAAAGTCAACTATAAGAATCCCAATTCGTGATGAGTTGCTTAACAGAACACACAAGTACTTGGGACTGATCAACACATCTCTGCAGCACCTGCAGATTCAAGGTCTGGTTTTATATCCTAGAGTAATTTTGTTGTAGTATTCTGTAGCAGCTAGGATAGGAAGAGATTTTTGATTCCTTGATAATTTGAAGATCATTGTCTCTGTCTTAGATGATTTTACCCTAGACATCCCTGAGTTAGAACTGAAACCAGAGGTGGACGTCCTCCTGTCTACTAATGCAGAGATGATAGAGACACTGGAGCAGTGTGTGATGAACTGGCAGACTCAGATTACAGTTTTCATAGAGGAGCAGCAAAACAAAAAGCCCCAGGTTTGGAACAATCCAACACTTACTTTCCAGCTGCACTGCTAAAGGTCAAATGCAGTCAGGTTTGACAAAACTGCTGAAATGTCAATATTCTGATCAACAAGGTAAAAACCTACAGAATAAAACTTCTACTTTCAATTCCCTGCAGGCTCCAGGCCCTATGGCCGAGATCGCTTTTTGGCAGGAGCGAGCGTCTATCCTGTGTGCACTTAGCGAGCAGCTGAAGGAGCCTATGGTGAAGAAAATTATGTTGGAGATGACCAAAGCAGATGCAGCCATTGTTCAGACCCTGGAGGGAACAGTTGCTGAACTTAATAAATACCGTGTTGAGTCAGACGATAATTTACGTTTCCTCAGCACACTGGAAAGACACTTTATGGTGAGCAGCACAATTGCTGAATGTTTCTTCTTGCAATTCAACATATTGATGTTTTTTAAGGGTGACCCACTGTATGTGAAGCACATTTTTCCTACTGTATTTTTAACCCATATTGATCATCTCCTGCAGAATCTGGCCACTGGATCACATTTTGGTGTAATTCTAGAGACTATTCCTCCTCTGATGGACAGCTTACAGATTGTTTGGATAATCTCTCGCCATTATAACACTAATGAACGAATGCTGCCTCTAATGGAGAGAATCGCCTGGCAGCTTTGTGAACGGGTGTCACAGGTGGTGGATGTCAGTACAATATTCAAGTATGTATAGCGAGTCACAATCCTTTACCACAGTAGTGTCAAACTCATTTAGGTTCACGGGCCACATACAACCTAATTAGATGTAAAGTGGGCTGGACCAGTGCACTTGAAACATAATTAACTTTAAGTAACAATAAGTGAATGTTTTGCCTTTGTTTTCATGCATAAGTTAGTAAGTACAAATATATTACATATTTATTATTATTATTTATATTTAATGAAATATATCTTGAACATGAAGGGTTTGTGTATTTTTTTATTTTCAATTCAAATTCATTAAGTGGACCCCCTAGTGGGCACCCTAGCAGGCCAGTTTTGGACCACTGGCCTTATGTTTGACACCCCTGCTTTAGCAGAACAGGTCATTATTTTATATAACACGACATGTTGTGTCCTGTGCAGAGAAAAGAGAGAGATGGCCAAATCCATGGCTCGTGACGCTAAACAGGTCCTGGACCAGTGGAAGACGTCCTACTTTGTAGTTCGTGCAGAAATTGAAGAATCAGGACGAGGTGCACGCTGGGAATTTGACCGCAAGAGGCTGTTTGAGAGAACTGATTACATGGCTTCCATCTGCCAGGATCTGTACAATGTTTTGCAGGTCAGTGAAAACATTCCCAAACATGTAAAAATCATAAAAAAAGATCTTGTGTTTGATTGTTTGAATATATTTTTTTGCAGGTTTTAGTGGAGTTCTACAACATCTTTGGACCAGAGCTGAAAGGAGTGACACGTGACCAGAAACGCATTGATGAAGTGCTGCATAGAGTGGACGCTCTGGTTCTGCCCATTGAGGAGGTTCGTTTTAATCCTTTTGACATGAGCAATAAGAGCAGCTGGAAAACCATTATGCGGGACTTTGACTCTACAGCTCAGGTCAGCATTATTACACAGTGAGAACTTGATAGACATCCCATCCTGTTATTTGGATTCACATTTCCTTTTTTTGTTTTTCTGTAGGCTATTGAGGCAGAGGCCATTGGCTT